ATATTTACTATTTTTTAACAGTCCAGGGATGAGATTAGCCAAAAGGTAAAAAAGCTGAATTTCCACGATAGTCAATTTTACGCAAGCGCAACCCTTTAATAATAAATTCCGGACAGTTTAAGGTAATAAATAATGTGCTGGCATACAATTGTGTACTAATCTATTATTATATAAATGATTACATTGATACTTAACATAGTGAAAATAAAAATTACCAATTGAAAAAATAAAGCTGGAAATTATATTTTTCCTCAGTTCACATAAGAGACAATTATTACTTGAAAAACTACCTGGTTTAGCAAATTAAAACTACTGAGAATATACATTAATATTTCATTTCTTTTAATAAATACTGTTATTTGATTTATAGCAAATATATCAGTAATATTACTTTTTAAATTATATTGGGAAAAAAAACTATAACAATGGACCGAATCATTAAGTTCATATTATAGTCTAATCTAACTAGAGCCCTCTGAAACATATCAATAACAGTGAAGTAGAAATATATAGTAACTCCTTAACATACAAAAATTGCTATTTTAGTTTGAAAAATTACATGACAATCAGCAACTGTTTAGATAATTGTTTTGATTTGATAAGAATTTTGCATTTTATAGCATAAATAACAGCAATTATAAATAAAATTTTGATGATGAGTTAATTAACTCCTTCTCCAAAAAAAAAAAAAAATTTATTAAATCCCTTCTTAAGTGATTGCTTTCGTTTACTATATCTTGATATTTATTCTACTTTTATGTTTGCTATATTTAGTCGTTAGTCCATCTTCAAATATCTTGTGACAAATCCTATTTTTTCTTCTTTGCAAGCACAGAATGTAGGTTTTGAATATATTCCCTTCCAGTTTCTCTGATGTTGTAACACTTACACATACTAATAATCGTCGTTAGAAAAACAGTCACCTTTATAGTAACTAATTTTAAAAAATTTTTTACTTCTTACAAGAATCGCGATAGTTGATCGTAAAATTGCATGAATAGGAATAACAATTATGGATTTTGAAATCACATGAATATGAAACTAGATATACGATTTTGAAAATGAGAAAATACAAACTGGGATATAGAATTTTTAAAATGCGTAAATACAAATCACGATTCATAATTTTTTTATAGCGTAAATATGAATCAGGATGCAAAATTTTTAAATTGCATAAATAAGAAATATGATGTATAATTTTTAGAATGCGTGAATGCGAATCCCAATGCCTTTTTTTAAAATCACGTATAAATATGAAAATCAATGTTTGATATTATAAACCGCATGAGCAAATCAAGACATTGAATTTTAAACTTACGTGAGTATGAATCACTACATAGGTTTTTAAAAAGGCGTAAATACGAATCACAATATCGGATTTTTAAATCTCGTAACTAAGAATAGCAACATACAATATTCAAATCGCGTGAATAAGAATCGCAACATGCAAATATGAAAAGCTATGTTTGATATTAAAATCGTGTGAATAAGAATCGAGATATTAGCAGATTCCAGGCTTGGGACCTTTAAAAGGCTTGTCAGAAACAGCGTCGTTTGAACTACGAAAATCGAATCTATCTGGAGGGCGGGTCAAAAATTCGGAAAATCTTATCTGCTGCGTGTAAAAGGGGAGATAATAGCTAAAATAAGTAAAAACGAGAAAGGATTGGTAGCTATGTAGTTTGAATTTTCTTTTTCTCTTTGAAAATCGGTGAATTTTATAAAAAAGCGGAATACTTATAAAAAAAGTGAAATTTTTAGAAAATCTGAATTTTTGATAAAAAAGCTGAATTTCAAGAGATAAAAGTGAAAAAAGCGGAAAAATCTCATCCCTAAACAGTCGAAAAACTCTTGAATCGTTAGGTATATAAGTGTTTACATAATTTTTAAAGTATCTAATTTTACATGGAAAAAATACAAAAGTTGAGCGAAATCGGTAAAATAGTTCCTGAGAAATCTAATTTTAAATATACAGCTTTTTAAAATTCTATACCTCAGGTACTATTCAACCAATTTCGGTCAATTTTGCAATGTAAAATTAAATACTTTAAAATATAAAAAATTGTATATACCTTACAATTCGAAATTTTTTCGACAAATACAAAATAAAATCATAAATATTTAGTAAAACTTATTTTTTTCAAGGATTTATCTTTGGATGAATGACTTTATCAAAATCATCGATGAATTGATTTATGAATGACTATATTTTGGGAGTCAAATACAAATCCGTAGAAGAAAAAAAAAGGCATGCTTATTCAGAGGAATTGCGCTTTTGTGTCTGATTTCGTAACTTAAAATGTCGCCTGCACCAATTAATTAGCATATTAGAATTCACCCCCTCAAACCATTAAAATTGAGTCCTAGAACGTGAAGATCCGATCATTAGATCTAAAGTTATTCAGGGTAGTCATTTTTTTTTTTTTTTTTTTTTTTTTTTTTTTTTTTTTTTTTTTTTNTTTTTTTTTTTTTTTTTTTTTGAAAAAGCACATCAGCATTATTTCAAAAATAATGCTGATGTAGTACCTTTTTAATACTTAAGATACAATTAAATTGATGTCGATTTTCTTTTCTTTTTATTCAACAATTAAACAAATTGTTAATTGAAAATAATTTTATCTAGTTCTGGAAATTATTATTTGCAATATATAACACCACTCATAATTTTAAATTTATTTTGTGTAAAAAAACATTTTATTATAGTCCCAGGAGTTTGTTTTTCCTTTACTTCCACTTTATCATAATTATTGTATTAAATTATTTCTGTTGAATTCTCAAAAATGGGTCCTATGGCACTCTGGTTTTTATTATCTTTAGATACAGCAGCCAAATTAAAAATTGGCAATATATTATCGGCATTCAAACAATGATAATGTAAGGATGTTTTATTTATTTTTCCTACTGTTACTAGCAAAATTGTTTTAAATTTATTGTTTTAATGTTCATTTGATTTTTTAGTGGCAAGATCAAATTATCCTGCATTTAAATTTCGTATAAACAGTTCTTTTTAATGCAACTTCTTGCAGCTTCTTTTTTCCTTGCTCTTGTTAAAAGAGGAACAAAAAGAAACAGAGGGGAAGAAAAACGTTAATTTCTTTAAAAAAATTCATTATAATTTTGTATTTATTAAACAAATAGATAAAAATATACAAATTTTTTTGGTAAAGAAATATTAAAAAATTTATACTAAGCCATACATAAAAAATTTACTATCTACAGACCATATTTTTATAGATACACGAGGGGAGATATTAATATTAATAAGATACATATTGTGATGAGATACTATAAACTTTTAAAAAATTTTCTAATTAATATACTTACTCCACTCAATATTGATATAAAAAAAATATTTTCAATTTGATTTCATGAGAAATGTTTTACTATTTATGTAACATTCTAAACAGATTGTTTTAAGTCAAAAATAAGCTTTATCAATTTTTGTTTTGTGATTGTAATGTTGGTAATTTTTTCTGATTAAATCTGAACTATGAAAATAAGAAATACATTTAAAAAATTATTTTCATGTTTTTCTCTTATTTTTATTTAAAACTAAATATTTAGTGGTAAAGAGAAACTGAATTTTAATTCTGTATTTCATTGCATAAGTTTATTAAAAGAAATATAGCCTGGTCTCAATAATTGTACGACGAAAATTCGGTAATTTGCATTGCAAGTAGCTTTAAAATTTCACTCTGTTGACAGTCATCCACACTGTTACTTTGTTACAGTCTGTTACCAATCATTTATTAAGCTTTATTTCTCTATATAGTCTAACAAAAAGCAATTCTTAGTAATCCACAGGACAAATTTGACTATGTGAGTAATCTAACATTCATTAAAAGTATTAACTAAAAATAGAAGATAGATTTAATAAAAACTAAATTTTTTCATAAATCAAGGTGTGAAGCCAAATATCTCAACAAACAATAAGTACATTTAAAGTACTTTTTAAGCACTGAAAAAATATTTTTAAGTACTAAATGCAAAATAATTTTCTAAAACTTTACATGATCATAAAATAACTAGTTTCTGACAAAGAACTCTTTGTATTATTATATCAGCAACCATTAAAAGATCGAGAGATTTTTCGATTCGATTTCAAAGGGTGGAAAATGAAGCCTGAAATTGAGAATATTTTGCAAAATGCAGCAGAGTTGCACATGAGAGTGCAAGAATCTCACCGAACCCAGCTCACTAGACGCACATGACTACTCCCAAGTATTTCATCAAACATGTAAAATGATAGGCGCTTTGAAATGCTACGGACCGAATTTAAGCCAAAATGGATTGTGGTTGAATGAATTGTGGAAAGGTTTAATAGAATATGAAAAGCACGCTTTTGTATGATACGCAGCGAAAATAGACACTGTGAAGAAAAATCTCATTTTTGAAAAGAGAAATTAGGCACTTTTTAAAAACATCTGATGAAAGAAGCACTTTTAAAGGCTTTTAAAAAAAATTAAAATTGAAAATAAGCAGCTTTAAGCATTTTTTAAAAACACTACACACAATGTAAATGGCAAAAAAAAAGAAAATATTTTTATCTTTTATAATAATTAAAACAATACAGAAATATAATTATTATTACACGTTAGAGACATTAATGTAAATACTAAATTCTGATTCAGGTTAAGTATTTTTTTTTTCTACAAAAATTTTTGAATGCTGGTAACAGAGGAGAAAATATTACAGATTTATGTAAATGTTATATTCCAAAAAAAAAAGTGCACTGCTGTCTTAAGTTTTATGTATAAGAACCATTTCAACTGCAGCTCAAATGTTTATAAGTAGTCTATAATGAATGTTAGATTTTTTTGTAAAGAAAACTTTTCCAAATGCCTCTCCATTTTGAAATTTAGCCAAATGCATTTGACTTTAAAGACTTGTCGCTATAATAAACTTTCACTGTATTTTGAAAATCACATTTCAATACTTTCAAAATAAAGTTTTAAAAAACACCAAGCACACAAAACAAATATAAATATACAAACTAAATATTCAACTTCATCCAATATTTATTAATCTTTTTCATAAAACAAATTACATCGGTTATTTCTTTTAAACTGGGATCCGTAACTAAGACAATAGTGATAATTCAAAGAAAAACATTAAATTTTATTTTTTTCATAGTTTTGCCTACAGTTCCATAAACAATTTTCAGAGTCCCAAAGTCTAGCTTTCAGGTGTAAAATTTAAGATTTAAAATATAGAATATACATAGTTTATAGCAAGAAATGCAATGATAGCTTAAGGAATTTGATTTTGTAGTTTATCCTTCTAATTCCAAACCTAGACCAACTTTATGGCCACCTTGGTTGAAACTCTTTCCATCAATTAAAGCAGACAATGTGAGTTGAATGCCTTGCCTTAGCTTATGGCAGAAGGACAAACCTATTTGACTGCTATTGTTCACTTTAGCCTAAAAATAAAAAATGAATAATCAATAAAAATATTATTAAATTATAATATTTATTATTAATAATAAAATTATAATATTAATAATAATCTATAGTAATATTAATAATAAATTTAGTGAGAATGTATAGAGTGTCCAAAAAGTATGGAAAGAGTTAAATATCTAGAAAATACATGTGTGAATAAATTTAGAAAAAAATGCATCAAATGGTACAAAAATCTACCTCTGCCCTGCTGCCTGAGGCAATGGCGAATCTTAGGGGAAAGGATCAAGTTTGATGTCATTAGATAAGTTTATTCAAACCAGTCAATTCTTATTTTTTTTTAATATGGTATGTATTTCAAAAGAAGTTAACATTTTAAATAACTTTCCCTCTAATTTTTATTTTGTAATTACACCACCATCTGTGAAACGAAATGCAACAATCTGTAAGACTAATTGAGATACTTATTTCTGGAAAATCCAAATCTGCAATAAAAATTAGAGGTCCCCATTTAAGATTTTGAAGTAGGCCCTACCCTATTTCAGAAGTTCCTTTTGATAACGCTGACAGAGTCTAAAAAATAATTCACATAGCTACACAATGCATCATTCAAAATAACAGTTGAATAATATTGTTGAACAAAATATGTACTAATAAAACTTTGAAATCAAGAAAGTTATAAGTCATATGCACCAATATAAAAATCATAAGCCATTCTTCACACTTTATGATTACAACATATATACATATTATTATTACAACTACAACCATAAAGGGGAAGCAGAAAAAAAAGTTTGATGACTGAAGAGCGCTTTCTCCAAAAGTTGTATTTGAACTAGTATATTACATGAGAATTTTTTCCAGATTTTTTATGCATCATCTTCATTTCCCGCAAAAACCTTGAAATTTTTCAAAATACAATTTTTGTAAATTTTTTAATTTCTAAAATTTGTTGGGCAATACAAAGTACCTCTTTAACTTTTAGTATCGGATGTAATATTGCTAATGATTGTTTTCAAAATTTTTCTGTCTCATTTTTATTTTCTATTGCCTCATACTGTCATTGAACTTTGCAATTTTAACATTAATATTTCATATTGTAGTTTTACTTTGCAGATTTATTTTCACAATAAAAATTTTAGCATCACAACATCAGCAATTCATTTTAAGAAGTACTGTAAACATGGATTTTCAAGCACGCAATGGTTTTTTTTTTCCTTCTCAAAAAAGATGAATAGCACACACATAAAGATGGTGTCTTCTCTTTTTGAAAGAGACTGCTCGTAACACCATTAACTGTTGCTTACTTTATTGGATAAATTCATAGCTAAGACTTCTTGATGCATGACAATTGAAAAGGTTAAATATGTCTTCAACTCGAAATAAAGAGGTCTCCCTTTAAAGTTAGTTCAAGAGAATTTGTAGTTTACTGCCAAACAAGGAGACGAGTTACTAAAATTTTATACACCGAACAACAGTGAATAAAAAGCAAAAATTTTACTAAAAAGTGGAATTTTATAAAATATTTAAAATAGATGTTAGAATTGTTTAAATTGAATCAGAATAGAGTTGTTGAGCAACAAATCTGGCTTATACATTTAAAATTCTAAATTGTTAAAGGAAAGGTATTTTGAACAGATTTTTATTTAATTTTTAATTTGAACCATGCTAATAATGGATTTATTCTAAAAATATTACATAGAAGATATTAGATTTATTTACTTGGTAGCTTATGATCTTCATTGTGAATTAAGACTGGCTATTTTTCAGGTTTGTTAAGAACTTAACTAGGATTTTACTAAAACCTAATATTTCCATACATAAAAAAAAAAAAAAAAAATCTCCAACAAAATTTAAAGTTTACCAGAATTCTCCGAATTGATAAAAAATACTGTATAAATACAAAGTTCAAAGGAAAAAAAATTGCTTTATTGTTGTAAGAAATGAAAAAAGTTCATACCCTGACGGATGTGGAATCATCGACCTTATATACACAACCAAGACCAAACTTAGTTTCATTTGTACCAGCAACCCAAGAAAGAGTTATTCCAGATTCTAGTTGAGGGTTCACTTTTTGATACATACAGCCACCAAATTCTTGACCATCAATACTAAGGAAAAAACAAAATAGTTCCTTAAAACATTATATGTAACACTTATGCAAAAACATTGGCTTTTTATAACGAATAAACTTTTAATTACTTTAAAAAGCTTTCACAGGGTGCATAGCCAAATTTTTCAGCAAAAAACAAGCACCTTTTAAGCACTCAAAAAATATTTTTAAGCACTTTAAAAAAATATAATAGTTAGGTAGGGTTGGAAAGTTTTTGACAATTGATGGTTTTAACCATTATGCAAAAAAAAAAACCTTTTGCATTATTTTTGACAATAGTCAAAAATCATGAAAATTTGAATCATGTAAAACGAATGACATTTTCATATGCTACAGATTGACAACACGCCGAAATAAAATGGGGTAGAATTAATTGTGAAAATGTTGAATAGAACAATGTGAACTGTCTTTTTGCATAATTCGTAGCAAAAATCAACACGATAAAGGAAAAATCTCATTTTGTAAGAGGGAAAATTAAGGAATTCTTAAAAACACCCCATGGAAAAAGCACCTTTAAGGGTTATTAAAAAAGGAAAATCGAAAATAAGCACCTTTAAGCACTTTTTAAAAACGCTATGCACCCTGTTTCAAAGTTGACACTTTATTTCATTAAGAATATGTAGCTTTTTAACTAAATCAATTTCAAGAAAACTACATTAAAAGTATATTTCATTTGATTTAGAGTTTAAAATGAAATTCACCTATAATCAATTATGTGTCAAGCATTTCAGGTTAAAAAAATTTTATGTTTAATGCCTATCAACAGATTTAAGACAACCACACAAAACCAAAACAAAATGTTAGCCAGAAACAAATGCCTATACACCAGTGGCATTTATTGTAATTTTTAGATATATCTTACTTAGGCTTTTGCATAGATAAGATTTACTGCAAATACATATAATTAAATAAAAACTGTGGATTAATTTTTACTTAACTGAACAGAAATTACAATGCTGATTAAAATGCTATATATTAGCTACAAATATCTGTAGAATACACATATTTAGTGGCAAGGTAATATCTCATTCAATTAAATACAAAAAATTTTCACTGAATTATTCAATGCTTTAAAACTAAGTAATGAATTTTTCCTAGATACAATAGCGTTTAAAAGGTCAATTCTCCAAACTGTCAATTAAAATAAACTATTTTTATTACAATTACTATAACTATAAATAGCTATTATAATTATATCGCAAGATAAAAAAAATGACTTAATTTGTTAATAAAAATTTCTCTAAAAGCATTCTTTATTTAAAAGAATTTTTTTTAAAATCAGAAATCTAATTTTTTTGAGATGTTAAATAATAATAGTAAAAAATGAATAAGATTTCTATGTTCGAAGAAGTTACTCTGATTACAAAGGCACCAACATAAAATTCTTAAGTTGGTAATTCTAAATAAATTTTTAATAACACATGTTAAATAGCAGTTATTTGCAAAATATGAAACCCTGGCATTCTATTAAAAAACTCAAGGTATTGTATGTAATGCCAGAAATATTTAGGCAAAATATGAAATATTACAATTATTTCATACTTTCCCTAGGCATGGTATATAAAAAGACAAATTCTATTTAAACAAAGCATGAAAAAAAGGTCCTGAAATGGCTATTATGAAAATGATGTGCAATCGTCAAAAATATAAAGTTATCCTGAAAAATTATGAGACAAAAGTTTATGCTTTTCTTAGTAAGGGAAACAAAGTTTTCATATAAAAAATAAGTATTAAAATTAACCTACTTGTTCCAATATGGTAGGCTTTAATGACATTTTGAATTACATTCTAAGGGAATCAGAGATTTATTTCATATTTTTTTGGATTCTCATTCAATTTTTTATAAAATGCCACATTTTTTTTTAAATGTGTGAAACATGAATCGTTTCATACAGTGCCAGCTACTTTTAGGCATTATATACAGAGCCTAGGCATTCTATACAATGTCAGGTATCAAATTTTACAGGTAACATACATAAAACATTTCATATAGTTAATGTCATTTATTTTTCAATGGATATAAAGTTATTTACTTACACATTTGAATGAAATACAAAGTCCCCTAATGAATAGCCTAAACCAATATTTGATTTAATCAAAGCATTTTTCCCGAAGTCATGAGAGATCTTAGCACCAACTAGCCAATTCTGGTAGCTATAAAAGAATTGAGAATCATTAAAATATCAATGTTTGAAAATTACCAAACAAAAAATTAGAAAGTATAACATTAAAATAAATCATACTTAATGACTCCAGCACCATGAACAACAGGAGATGTTAAGTCTAAATCGACATCACCATTCAGGTGGACATGTTCATTTTTATATGCTGAGCTGAATGTTCCAGATTTCTTTCTAATGAAAATAAAAATAAACTTTGATTTTCACGATAAAAAAATATTTTAATATACATAAGCAATTTTATTTTATAAGAATAAAGCATTTAATAATGGGTTTTCTCAATTGTAAAATAATTAAGGAAAGAATTATTTAAAATTAGCCATTAAAGTAACAAATTTTAAGAATTTAGCAAAAATTTTCACAGATTCAAAGGATTAAAAATAAAAATATTATACAGTACCGCTCAGAAGTATCAGTACACCTAGAAACTTATAAAAAAAATGGCAAAATTCAAAGTGTCATAACTTCTTTAAAAATGATCAAAAATGCTTCTGCTTTAGCTCATTTTGAAGCTTAAAATCTCTACTTTTATGTACTCTAATTGTTTTTAATTAATATATTTTGCAACTATGTACAATTACACTCTAAATAATCATAGAAAATTGCATTAATTTTTTGTGAAGTTTGACGCGATGAATGGGCACAAAGGGGTTAGATATTGTTAATTTTTATTATACCATTGAAAAATTTGGACTTTTAGCTTTCATTCAACAAAAAAAAATTCCAAAAAAACATGTTTTTTGACGAAGTTATTGTCAAATAAAAAAAAGGGTTTTTTTTCAGAATTTAATGATTTTTCAGCAATTATAATGAATTTTAGTGTAATTATAATATGATATGAAAATTTTTTAATTAAAATAAATTAAAATTTAATATTTCTCGATAGTATTATTTCATAATTTATTATAACAATTTTAACTTTTTTTTTTTTCGGAAAATATAATAATGAAATAAGAATCAACGTTTACAACGTTGTGTGCTGCAATTATAAAAGCGCGAGGAGGATATTTTGAAGAAAGCAAAATATGATGTAAAATATTTTTTCATTATTACATTTTTGTTTTCAAATTTTTTCGTGAGAAAAATACGAAAAAAAATAAATTTCAAAATATTAAATTGTAAATGTTGATTCTTATTTCATAATTATATTTTCCAAAAAAAAAAGTTAAAATTGTTATAATAAATTATGAAATAATATTATCAAGAAATATTAAATTTTCATTTATTTTAATTAAAAAATTTTCATATCATATTATTATTACACTAAAATTCATTATAATTGCTGAAAAATCATTAAATTCTGAAAAAAAACCTTTTTTTTTATTTGACAATAACTTCGTCAAAAAGCATGTTTTTTTGGAATTTTTTTTTTAAATGAAAGCTAAAAATCCAAATTTTTCAATGGTATAATAAAAATTAACAATATCTAACCCCTTTGTGCCCGTACATTGCATCAAACTTCACAAAAAATTAATACAATTTTCTATGATTGTTTAGAGTGTAATTGTACATAGTTGCAAAATATATTAATTAAAAACAATTAGAGTACATAAAAGTAGAGATTATAAGCTTCAAAATGAGCTAAAGCAGAAGCATTTTTGATCATTTTTAAAGAAGTTATGACACTTTGAATTTTGCCATTTTTTTTATAAGTTTCTAGGTGTACTGATACTTTTGAGCGGTACTGTATGTATACAAATATAAATTAGAGGACATTTTTAAGCTTGAAATAATTAAAAATTTATAGAAGTTCATAATTAAAATTAGCAGACACAGTTAATTTCAAATTAATAAGGAATTATTCTTGTAATGTTACGTGCATAATGTTGCATTTCCCTAGTATCTGAGATAATATTAGAAAATGGACAAAGAAAATAATTCCCAGTGTTCTAAAGGACAACTAACGATGGAATATTTTGCATTTTAATGAACTGAGAGTTCATCATTATCAGAAGTAAAAATTAAAAAAAAAATAATAATAATTTGCATTTTCATGCAGTTAAAAAGTGATAACAGGGGTCTTTCCAGGGCAAATTTACTGCCATTTAGCAGTACTTTCGCACAAATTCAAGTTTAGGAAAAACGAGTTTCACAAAATACTTAACATATTTTCTAAAAATATTTAAATATTTCTGAAAATATTATTTTATTTTACCATATTTTTGTATTGATTTTTTAATATAATTTTTAAATTTCACAAATTATGACTAAATTTTACCTCTAAAAAAATAGATACCTCTAAAAAAAACCTAGACAGACCCCTGGATAATCTGCTCAAAGAAACTTTAAATTTAAATTCACTACGATACTTTTCCATGTTTATTTCATTGTTATTTACATTACAATTCATATTTTGTTCTATTGTATACATTATTCTATTATTTATATTGTAGTTTGTTTTAATCTTCAAAATAAAATTTAATACACTGTATATTTTCTATAAAGGTTTGAGAGAAAAAGCTTTTAATTAAACATAAACTGCTGTTTGTAGAAAATGCAACACCATGAAGGAATCATCAGAATCAAATGAAATTCGCAGCAAATGTCAATTATAGGATATTATGCAAATTAATAAAGTTTCAGAGCCATCGCGCGTGCGTGGCGCGCGCAGCGCCCTCTGAATTGATGCTGAAAGCGTATAAATAAAGTGCTGTAGCGGGACGTTGAAAATAGTCTATGATTATTTGTTAGTGGCAAACGTTTAGTGAGACCTGAGTATGCCTCCACGACGGAAGAATAAGAAATTCAAGCAACTTACGGAGTTTGAACGAGGGAGGATAATCGGCCTTCGAGAAGGAGGATTTTCCTATCGCGCAATAGCAGCTCGTATGCAGCGGAACAGTTCCACAGTGATGCGAGTTTGGAAGCAGTGGACCGACGAGCACCGAACAACTCGAAAAACAGGCACTGGACGACAGAAGGTGACGTCAGAGCGCGATGATCGACACCTGCTCCGCATGGCGGTGAATGATCGCACAGCTTCCTCCAGGCAGCTGGCAGCACATTGGTCTACTGCTACAGGTGTACAATTGTCGGCTTTGTCAATTTGTCGTCGTCTGCTGCGCCGTGGATTGCGTGCAAGGGTGCCATTATACAGGATTCCCCTCACGGCGGATCATCGACGGCTGCGTCGGCAGTGGGCTCTTGAGCACAGAGACTGGCGAGCTGATTGGCACCAAGTTGTCTTTTCAGATGAATCACGCTTCAATTTGTGGACCCATGATGGCCGTGTTCGTGTTAGACGTTATGCCGGTCAACGCTGCCTTCCTGAGTGTATTATTGAACGACATAGTGGTCGAACACCCAGAGTTATGGTCTGGGGTGCGATTTCGTATCATGGACGATCCAATTTGATACGAATTGAGGGTAATCTCAATAGCAACAGATACGTCCGTGAAGTGCTACAGCCCGAAGTCGTTCCTTTCCTTCAAGGCATCCCTGGAGCTATCTTTCAGCAGGATAATGCACGCCCACATGTTGCGTGGACTGTTAGAGACTTCTGTTCAGCACAACGCATGCAACTTCTTCCTTGGCCTGCTTATTCGCCGGATATGTCGCCTATTGAGCACGTGTGGGATATGGTTGGTCGGCGTCTCACTCGTGATCCGCGTCCTGCAGTTTCCAAAGACGAACTTTGGTTGCGCATACAAGCGATATGGAATTCTCTTCCTCAAGCAGATATTCAACATCTGTTTGACTCCATGCCACGTCGTATAGCAGCACTTATTGCAGCGCGTGGTGGCTGCACCAAATACTGATTTCGGACGCTTAATTTGTTTCTTTTGTTTTGAAAATTTCATCATTTATTTGTATCAGTACAAGTCGTTTCTGCATTAAATTTCATTTGATTCTGATGATTCTTTCATGGTGTTGCATTTTCTACAAACAGCAGTTTATATGGGGGGGGGGGACATTTTCGATCCTTAAAAAAAGGGGGAAAAAAAACTTTAAATCTTAGAGAAACATGCTTCTATGAATTACTACACATTTCAATAAACTGACTATACATATAAAATTGATTTTCTAGTCAACATTAATGCTATACATAAATATTTACTGATGTTCTTACCCTGTTTGGGGTGCAAAACTTGTATCAATACTAAGTTTCAGACCTTTAACAAATTGGTCTTCAACGGAAAATTCAGTGGCTAGAACATTGTCAGTATTCCATTTTTCTTTTATTGTAATTCCTAAATACAAAGAAAACAAATAGAGCAATCATAAAACACAATATGAAATTGCTGGCTTTAAATCAATCTATTTTTGTATACATATATATGTTGAAAACCAAAATAAAAAGCTCAAAAAAAAAATTCTAATTAAGAAAGTAAAAAATTTATCAAGTAATTACTTAGAAAGAAAATAAAAATTAAAATTTCCAACTGGGACAGTTTAAAGTAATTCCTGAGAAAATTTCTCTAAATAGGTTATTTTTCAATATTTTCTAGCTCACATTTATAATAGCAAAAAATATTTATATCATAATTACTAGCTCATTTAAACTCCAAAAACACTAGGTTTTTGTAGTGGAAAAAAAAATGCTGAAAATTCAACTTAAATGTGAATAATTATGGGTAATCTATTAAAACTATAACCTATACTTAACCTATTAAAGCTATTATTGGTAACCTATTACTAGAAAATAGCACTGAGTATTTATTTCACGAACTTAAAAAGTTTCATTCTATTGAACTATTAATTTTTAAAAATTTGAAATCAGTAAATTCCACCTTTGTTTTTATATAAAATTTCATACTCTTCAAATTACCAATTAAGTTTTTAGTTTAAGATCAAGAAGTTATGTTTCAACACATCTATTAGTCAATCTAAAACACAAAATTCATCACAAATTTCATTCACAAAACTAATAACCTTTCTTCAAAGAAATAAAATTGTTTCTGTGACAAAATTGTAAGCAATATACAATTAAAAATCATATTTAATCATCACATTTTATAACAAAATTTTATCAACTTTTATAATTAATTTATTCAAATATAAATATACTAATTTTCATTAACATGCATTAAAATTTATAGCGATGTTAAAAAGCAAATAATTTAATAACTATACATATCAAAGCATTTTAGGCTAGATTAAAAGATTACCGTGATTTTTTAGAAGGTACTTTGTTTCAAGAAAAGCGTTCACACGTCCAGTGTCATTATTTGATGTGCCACTAACTGTAAAATTAACACCTGTTGCAGTTTTGGTCTTACATTCCAATTTCATCAAACCAATATCTGAAAATATTAAGCAAAAAATTAATCTTATAATTCACACACATAATAAAAATAATGTTCTTAAAATAGTTAATACAAGGGGGAAAAAAGGATTTCTCTTCTAGAACAGAACATTGAAAAAATATAATGCAAAAAATTAGCTTTTAATTTTTGCATTAAATCTTAGAATATTGACTGTAAAAAATATGTAGCTTAACTAGACAATTTTTCTATCATAAAATTCAAAAATTTTGTAATTTTCGAGCAGTAATAAAAAAAAAGTCAATAAAAATTGGTGAATTTACTAACTGTATTATTTTATAATATGTACAAAACATTCTAATTTTTAAAAAAAAATGCAAAAATGGCATTTAAAGGACCTAAACCTTTTATTGATTTCTTCTTTTTAATTTTTTGGCATACTTTCGAAAATTAAGGAACGTTTATATTGGAAATACCATTTATCAGTAAAATAAAATAAAAAACTTACGATAATTTCTATTGAAGATATCCCTTGCTTGTTTTCCAAGATCTGAAAAGCATGGTGGAGCCATTTTTGATCCTGTAAAATTATTAATTTTTTTAGCAATCTCTGCATGTGAACAGAATCCTGTAGCCTTTATTAATTAGGGCTTAATTAAAGTCCATTAATTAAGCCTAAATCAATGCAGTGTACAAAAAAATATACACTCTTCCTGTTTATTTTACAATGTTATGAATGTCAAAATTGCCAAAATATTTTTAGAGATACTGAAAACAGTTTTCAGAAAAGATGCTATTTTATTCATATAATTATTGCAATGAGCAAAATAAGTTGAAAGCCTAGTTATTTTTAATATAAGAGCCAGTCAAAAATTTTTAATAACATAAACTAACCTTTTTTTTTCTTTAAAATAAATAAAAATTAGATATATTCAATATTTTTCTCTTATAATACTTCAACAACAAAATACAAAATTATTTCATTATGTACATAGCTAAGAGAAAATTTTGCTTTGATTGATTTTACATAAATTAATTGAAATTAGCCACAATAAAAACATTTGACACATAAATAAAAGCAAAAATCTATAAATAAATACTTTAAAAAATATCTGTCACAACTTGTTATCTAACAAGTCATGACAACTTTTCATCTAAAAAGTCAATTTTTCATGAGCAGTGACGTTATAATATAAGGAGTCAAACTGATTAAATACTTCAAGTATAAATAAATATAAATGCTTGACGTTTCTTTCCTGATTAAATTTGTGATAAAGTGTTGGCAACAAGCCAAATTGAAAATGAATTTAAGAATTTATTACTGATCTGTTAGCCAAAGATAAAGATCTTAATATCAAGCATTATTTCTTTTTGCTTAAAACTAATTTTGCTAGCTTGAAAAACTATTTAAAATTTTTATAAACTAATTTTGTTTATTTAGGAATTAGAAAGCCAACCAAATTTTCAAATTTAATATTTCAAATATTAAATTTTCTTTCATAATATTTCTATGCTGCAATAGTATTTGTTTTATACTTGTTATGAGTTTAATTTGTATTTACGGAACACACAGTGTATATAGTGGGACATCGAATTACGCGTATATCTTGTAAAATACAACTGCAGAAAGAAAAAAATATTAAGTCTACAAAATTTTCTTAAGTTATATTTTTTGAAATGACACATTTTCACATTTGAAATACTTTAAAATTTATTATTTTACTTATCTAATCCTTTCCTCTGAATGTAATTTTAAGTATTGTTTCTAAAAAGAAACTTATATGTAAAGAACTGAAAGGGATAAATTGATAGAGTTATTCATATCTCATATTGTTTATAATGGATCTATCTCATGTCTAATAAATGTACGACTTTAATACCAGTGCATAAATCGACCCCTGATATTTGTGAAATTTATGAAATTAAAAAATTGGACTCATACACCAACTAATTTAAATTAGGAACAAAATTTGAATAAATTTAAAATCTAATTAATTTTTTTGTAAATTTTATTTCATTGTAATATATAATTTCCTCAAGAAAGAACTTCATCAATTATTAAGTTTCTTAAATTTAAATTAAATAATTAGAGGCTAGTTTGCACCAATTTTTTAAAAAAATTATAGGTATAACCACTCAGGATGCATAATTTTTTTTTTCTCCCTGAAGCATAATAAAAGTCTTAAAATACCTTTTAATGATCATTTATAATAATTCACTTTGAGAATTTTTAATAATTTGTGCGTGTCAAATTAAATTAATTAATTTATCTTAGATAATGCTATAGGGCTTTGTAATCAATTTCTCATATATCCTTAAACGACAAATTCCTAACTTTTTTTACTCAAAAGTTTACATTGGATATTTAATTTGAAATTTACCATTAATATTTCAATTCTGATAATAAAAATCATTCTAAAATAATAAAAATGTATATGTCTGCAGAAACAGAATGTATCCCAATACTGAAATATGTGACAATTTTTTTTTTTTTTACGAAAGCTTAAAAAAAAAAATTCTATTATTTTATTTCAATTTAAAGTTTAACAAAATAAGGTTCTATTATATCACCTCACAACATCTATAAGACAGAGATGCCAACTGCTCCACACAAGCCAAAATAACTTAAAAAAAGGTAAAAAACTTCAAGCTAAATTTTGCAAATACTTGACTATTTTTGCTTGCTTTTTAAAAGGATTAGCATGGAATAACTATAAAAAAATGGTGAATAATATAAGCCTACGAATTATTTAGAAATAGTAGCAGATAAAAATCTACTAAATTAAATTTATTAAACTAAGAATCACAATTAATATACCACTTGAAAATATTTATTCGCTGCCCGGAGAAAGTTGGCATCTCTGAAAAGATAGTGCATAAAAAAGTGCAATTTTCTTAAAAACTGCATTTAAAAAAGTAATAAAAATATAACTGTTTACAAGGTACAGTAGGGAACCGATCATCCGGAACAATCGGGACCATCGCTATTCCGGATAACTGATTTTTCCGGTTTTCTGAATCGCTACAAAAAGCCGTTTTTTTTTATTGTCAAACTCGACTAAAAAAATATATTTGGAAATAATCTTAAAAAGAAGAAAAAACGATGAAGTAATACACTAATGATTGTTTCCAAAATGATGGTAAGGTAAACATCTTTCAAAAAAGAAAGAAAAATCTTGAAATCTTATGAGGAAAAAAACTTTTTTCTTAAAAAAATGGCGGGAAAATTTATCGAATTTCGTTCCGGTTTTTTGGTCTTCCGGTTTTCTGATTTCCGGATAACGGGTTCTGTACTGTATTATAAACAAATTTGTAGTATAATTTATACTCATTTATATAATTTAGTATAATTTATACTCATCATTGAAAAAAAAAAATGGGTGAGAATTTCTCACCCTTTCTCAAAAACAGGGTGAGATTTCAAAAAGTTAAGTGAGATTTCTAAAAACTAAAAAAACACAAAAACTCTTGAAAAAAAATCATTTCTTTAATTTTTAACGTCTTCTATTTTTTAAAGCATTGAATATTTTTGGTGCATCATCATAGAAGATTTTGCCTTTACAAGGTATTTGTCCATCTTACATTAGCACATAAAAAATTTGAATGTCTTACATGAAGAAACCTTACCTACGGTAAATGCGTGGTTACAGAGAAATGCGTTGTGAAAGGGGTTCCGTGGTTATGTTCTGTTGTTCGAAAAGGTTCTGAACAATACTGGTAAATAGGGAAGCTATAGAATGGGGCAGATGTTGAAAATAATGAAAGATCCAGGAAGAAAAGTTAAATGGATTTTATTCTAAATGGCATAATTCGAAGCTTTTTCCAAAATGCGAAAAATTCGCGAATTTTGAAATTGATTTATAGAATGTGCGAATTTCTAGCAGTAATCAATTTTTAATGCGAGAAAAGAAAAAAATATGTGAGATTCTCGCGTTCTCGTGCTGTAGTGAAAACACTGCATTATCATTATTCTCAAATGATCTTCCTCACATCAAAATTTAAATATATAGATAGGATATAATAAATGGTAAGTTTATAAAAATTTTATTCAATGTAAACAATAAAATTTTAAATTTAAAAATTAGGGATTTGTAGTTTAACAATGTACCATAAGGGATAAATTAGTGAATCAAGTTTAGCATATACACAAGCTACTACAGTTGTTAAAGCAAATCATTGCAAAATGAGATAATGTAAATCCACAATAAATTTGCACAAACTTATTAGGTAAAAAACAGCTTTTAGTCAGTACTTTTAATACAATATTTTAATAGTGATGCTCAATGATCAAAGAAGCGTCTCAACAGTAAAGGGGCTGTGTATAACATATGTAGCAATCCGAAAATAATGTAGAGGTCTAAGCATAAAAGAATGAGACTTAAGTTAGAATAAGCTTTCATTTATAAATTATTCCTATAAAAAATTTTAAGAATAATTTTTAACCCATTTATCCCTTGAAAAGTATAAATTTTCTTAATTATAAATTATTAATTAAACTTATTTAATAAAATAGAAGCCCTGAAAGGAGTTAGACAGCATTTTCCATGAAATAAATATAAAATGACGTTTGAAACTAGGAATTTGTTTTTAGCTGTATAGAGCAAATTTATAATAAGTTTTTCATTAAACCACTGCATTAATTGAAATTTTCACATGGTGGATTAAATAGTTTAATCATTTCAGTCAAATTATGATAAGAATTTTAACACTTGACTATAACATTAAGTTAGCAAACAAACAGAAAAAGAGATTTTCAACATGAATAATATCTGTATAAATGTATTCAAACTACAAATAGAATTGAAACAGTAGAAATTTTTCGAATTCTAGTATCATCCTTAGCTTAAATCAAATTATACAGCATAAAATTATCCAAAAACATTTATCAGCAGTCAAAAAATTCAATATCGAAAAATTGAAACTTATTTTTAAAGTGAATATATCTTATATTTAAAGTTCGGTGTTAAGTCCGTAGAAAATTAACGTTTTTGACTGGCAAATGCCATCCAAGAGCTATTCTGCTACGTACTACTTAGTGTCCACTGCTCATATAAACACAACAAATAATTCAAAAATATAATTAAAATGTTTGCTTCCATTTCTAAGCTTATAAATGTATTTATGAACAAGGATACTTCATATTACAGTATAACTTAGATAAATTACAGTATAACTTAGATAAAAAAATTATTTTCCTTGAAGCATGACTGGACGCGGAAAGCACTGAGTTATAAATTTATACTAGACTCATTACTGAAACAAATATTCAAAGCATGACAGATGAAAATTTTTCATACCTTTTCAAACTAAAAATTATAAGATAATATGGACGTTATATTTTTTAATAATAAGATGAGAAAAAGGTTAAATGAAGGGTGTAGTAGAAAAATGTAATGCAAAATAGCAGAAAGTTAGAGACTTACGGATGCAGTTAGAACTCAAAAAATAAATTATAAATTAATATTTTGCGAAATGAGCTTTTGATAATTTGTATCGATTTTATGCGAAATTATTCAAGTTCATTAACTATTCCAACCCTGAAAATAATCACTTCTTTTAATTTTATTAAAAATTCATTGTGACTCTTTAACTGATTGCCGGAAAAGAAGTGAAGTAGAAGTAGTCAACTCGAATTGTAAACAATCAAACCGTTGCGTTAAAATTAGGTACATACGGTAATTTTTTTGCGGCATTCTGAATATATAAAAGTATATCTAACTACTGAAGTAATTAAATTTACCTTAAAAATTAATTTCATTTGTCACTGCATGTTCAATTTAGTTTTATAGCTGATTTTTGGGTATTGAAAAGGAAAAAGTGTATTTTCTGCTGCAGTCATATGGACAACTAGGAAAATCTAATTTAACTTAAAAAAATACTGTAGCAAATTTTTTTCACTGTTCATTTGAATATTAAATAAAAATATCTATCAATAATGCAAATTTCCCTAATAATCTGATAATTTTTACTCTTAGTGTTGGCGTATTTTAATCAAATTTTTTAGAACAGTTATGTGCTTTGTAAAAACTATGTCAAAAGTTTAGATGATTAACCAACAAGGCTAATAATTATTGTGAATTTTTCATCTTACAAATGTAACTAATCTTTTGTTTTACACAAGCTAAATGTATCTTCATGGTGTTGATGAACACATTATTTCGAATAGCTCTATTGATTTCAAGATGTTAACAGTTTCAGCTAATTACATATATATAATAAAGAATTTTATTTTAATATAGAGACTCGCACTGGTATTAGTTTGTATGCATTACATGTGATCATGTTTTAAAGAGGCAATAGAAGTTTCAAAGCTAATAAGTAGGACTAGATAAATTTATTAAATAATTATAAACACTTAAAAGAGCTTAATTTGTTTAAAAAAAGGTCCAAATACATAATGTGCCAGCATAATAACATTGCCACCAATTATCCATAAAAAAAAAGATTTAGGAAGTATCTTAAAATTTAGATCTGCAAAAGACATTTGAATTTTTATATCTCTATACATAATTACATAAAAGGATTGTAGTGCCTTGAAAAATTTTATACGGGATTAAGTTTAATAAATACATGAAAATTTGTTAGACTTAATTAAATGGTAAAGAGCTTAAATAAATCTTTAAATGGCATTATAATGAAATAACAGTTCATTAAAGTTTTAAGTTCATTTTTGGGAAAAAAATTACTTTAAAAAAAAGAAAATGTTTCTTCTGAAGAGGAAATATCGTTCTTGAAAAAATAAGTTTCAAGGGGAAGAAACTTTTTTAAAAAAAATATGTTAAAACAGTTTATAATTGCAATCTAGTTTAAATAAAAGTATTAACTTCAAAGTTTTCAAATGTATATCATTTTTAGGAAAGTGAAGGTTGAATTATAAAAAAAATTATGAATTTTTTGAGTAATAAAAATAATTCTAGTTCTTCAATAATTTACATAAAGGAGTATTGTAAACCCTAGTTTTATAATTATATAAAAAAATCAATGAAGTATCATTTATAAATAAATTAAAATGCATAGTGAGTTTATAAGTAAAAATAACATTTTAATTTCTATAATTATTAAGAAGAAATGCTTAAACCAAATTCTTCTCAGATGATATGTGTTTATATAGATGTTAAAATTTTGCATAAAACTAACAGTATGAAAATATTTTTTTTTTTAAAGTGAAAACTTTTTACTTTCTGGTACTGTATTAATTTAATTTTTTAAAATTTTGATTAATTATCATTACTAATTTTAATTAGTTATCATTACTAAACAATTGTATTGATATATATTTTTCTATCTTAAACACTTCTTACTGTTTTTCTCACTATCCTGGAAAAGGTAAAATGCTTACCCTAATGTTATACTTAATATAAGAAATAATAAAAAAACAAGTGTGCAATAATTTGATGAAATATTTAAATGAAATGAAACCTTCTGTAATTATAATATTTACTAATTTTGTTTGATAAAAAGATTTTAAATTATATATAGAAGTTTTTTTTTTGCGAACTTAATCTCTTGAAGGGATTTTAAATCAAACAGCCAAAGTTTTGCCTAGTTTAACCCTTATATCGCCTTTAAAAAATGCAAAAAGTTAACATTTTCCCACTAATATCTATTATATTTTATATGATGTAGCTAAAAAAAAAAAAATTGTTTCGTACATGCAGTTGATTGTAGCTTGTTTGTAAGCTAATAATTTTGTGTTTACTGTGAATATTCTTCTATTAAACTCATGAATCTTAACAAAAATAAATAAATTTCTCTGATTAAAGTCTTTTACTTAATGGTACAAATTGTGTTAGATATCATTGAAGTTTATTTGGAAGCATAGATAAGAAAAGGAAGTCTTCGACTTTTTTTTATTTTATTTAAAAAGATTTTATAAAAATTTATTATCAGTCTGTTTTTTCACATTGCTCTTTCTTTCTTCCTTAAAAACAAATTTTAATGTTACTTTAAGTATCTTTTCTATTATAGGTCGTGTTAAGAAAACATACATAATTTGAAAACAGCTCTAATTATTCATTAGTTCCGTGAAGAAATTGAAAATTAGACCGGAAATTATCTAAAAAATGTGTGACCAATTTTTTTTTTTAAATTTAAATGAATACTTTTATGTACGGACACTGTTATGAAGTGTGTGTACATTATTTTATTTTCTTTATCGTTGTCTCAGTCATTTAGACAAAGAACAAAGATTTCTTTCGTGTGTTTAAAATATATGCACATGTATAAATACCTTTTAAAATTATTTCTTATATTTCCACCTTACATTTTTAGTTGATTTTGAATTATTTGTGGTACATTTTTCACCCAATACTATGGATAATTAGAGCTCTATTCTAATAATAGATACATTATATATTATTTTATAGAATATTACATTAAAATATGTGTACCCAAGGTATTCCTTGTGATAGTGTACCTAAAAATATTCTGAAAATAACATAGAATTGTTATTTTAAATTGCTTTAAGAGTATAAACTGTTTTTAGATGTATTATAATTAATTATATCCCCTGATTATTATTTATTCATAAATTTAATATTTTAGCCATGGGTAGACGAAGAAGTAAAAGGAAGCCACCTCCCAAGCAAAAAGCTATCATGCCTTTGGAAACACAGTTTAATTGCCCGTTTTGTAACCATGAAAAATCATGTGAAGTAAAAATGTATGATATTCACTTTATTAGTTTTTATTTATACCAGTATTTTAAGTGTAACTTCATTTTGCAAGGGGCATCATTACAGCGGTTACTAACTTAAGGAAATAGGAACATCACGAAGATAAGAATTGCATTGCAACCCATGTCTGAAAATATTGTGCTCTCAGGGTTCTGCCTATGCCGAATTTACTACCGTTTAGCGGTAGTTTGACAAATTCAACATTAGGAAAAACTGTAGTTTCACAAAATACTTTCTCTTAAAATTTTATTTTCCTATCCCTTAATAAACGATAAATCCATAATTTGAGCATATTTTTGTGTTGATATTTCAATATAATTTTTAATTTTTCGCAAATTATGTCTAAATTTTCATAAAATAGGTACCTCTCTGAAAAGCCTAGACAGACCCCTGGCTCTACTAGAGATGCCTCTTTATCATAAAATGACTGAATGTTGAAACATTATTTATATTTATCTGAACTGTCTTGATTTTAATTTTATGCTTTCTAGTAATTGTTAAAAATTGCATTTAAATGGGCCTCAAAATAGCTCTTTTACTTAAATTAATGATATGTGACCATCTCCACGTTCATGTCATCATAATTTTCTACCTCTTGTGAAGTACAATGACATTTTCAGACATAAGTTGCTAATTCAATTTCCAAGCCTTACTTCCAACTAATTAGTAACCATTCAACTGAATTATATAGTATTCATATACAGGGCTCAAAATTAACGTTGGTCTGTTGATCTGAGATCACTAAAATTTGACTCAGATTAGCAATCAATGTAAATTTAATTTAATTTTTGGCTTTATATTTTGCTCTGTGCTTTTGTTACAAAATTGCATATTTCATCATATTTGGAACATTCATTACGCGTGTAATTTTTTCTTTTAAATTCAGTTTATTATCTTTAAAAAATAAGATAGGGGACATGTAAATGGACCAGTGAAAGTGTGTGCTGACTAGTAATATCTTTTAGTTGGAGATCCTATGGGCCGCCGACTAATTTTTCTTGATTTCTACCCCTGATATAACTACCAATTTGTTAAATAAGTTAGGGGGGAAATGGTAGTTCAGCTAGAATTATAATACTGTATTCACATTATTTAACTGCTAAGTATATATGTTTTTGTTTATGCGTATTAAATACTACTTTTTTATAAGAGTGGATGTTGACTAAACAAAATTACAATAGTAGAATAGTAATTTTTACTTTCATTGTTAACTCTCCAAGCCCCTGTGCTAAATTGTACTAAAATTTTTTGGATACCCATTATTTTCATGTTGACATACATTAATAATAACATACATTAGATAGGTTTTTTATTATTTATTTTTGCTTGCAATGTAATGTTTATAGGAACCCATGCTTAATGCTCCAAGGATTAGCTATGTAGTTTATGAATATGGAAGACTTCTTTTATTATAGTTATCAATAATCAGCACCAGTCCTGCAAGGAAAAATATTTTCAAGCTTTATGGGATGAACCTCCCTAGCATTCATTTCTTTCTACATGACATTTTTTGTAGTAATAAATATATGTGTTACTGATTTTTAATAGCCAAAGAGCTTTATCTTTTTAAGAAAAGTCTCCAAATATGGATTAAAACTGAAGGCAAAACCGGGGTTATTTGGTTTACTTTTCAGTTTTTTTTGATCTTGCAAAAAATTTTATCATACAGTTTGATTTTTTTTTTTCTTTTGTAAAGGGTTAGCTAAAATTTCACTGGCAGTTTAAATTAAGGGTTTTATTAGTTGAATGCAGATGATAATCAAAAA